TAAGTAAGTAAGTAAGTAAGTAAGTAAGTAAGTAAGTGAAAGTTTATTTACTGTTTATAGCGCCTTTCACACTAATGATGCTCTGCATCCATTATCAGAAAGAAAAAGCAAAAATATCACATTAACTGTACAAATTATACATTCAATACTCAATATTTAAAACAAAACAAAAAGGAGTTCAATTTATGTCTCACCCTATAGGTGGATGGGATGGATACTACACCAGAAAACACACATGATTGTTAGTCAAGGCTTATAAACTCAACTTGTGAGGTGTTGAATAAACCACCCCGACTGCAGATGTGTGAAACTACATGTGTCAATACCACCCAGTATAATACTGCAACTTATTRTGCACAAGTAGATGGAAAGCAGAGACAGAGTGATGCTTGTGCTGCTCACGCTTCTCCACTGGTCAAACAAAAGTTCATGCATTCACCATTTTCATGTTGTGTCTTACTGAAATACTTCCCAGCAGTGTTGTCAGATATATGATTGTCAATCACTTCACACACGTCTTATTATAGGACAGTGTCTAATAATGACGTAACTAAGAAAGTTGCTTCACAAAGCACCTTTCAAGATGGCGGCCCAATTCTCATCTCGCTAGCATAGATAGCAGGGGCGTGTCCATCTCCGCTCCGGGCCGGTTACCGTTACTGGCTGACCTCTGGTTCACTAAKACACTGCTCGTTGTTCAAACTAAAGTGCCCAGCGCCCACATTTAAACCTTTTTAACTTTAATAAACGGCTCTTTGATTGTGGCCCAGCTGTAACAACTTTGCAGAACTTACCTCAGGCTGCAGGACAGGACGGAGCAGTCTGCTGTCTGGACAGCTGCATAGCAACGAGACGCTGCCGAGGAAACTCTGCGCTGTGATTGGTCCACCGTGGCGCGTGAGGAAGCCTCCTGGGACTGTGCGCGAGATCCAAGCGTCTGGCGCGAAACTGAGGAGCGTGAAAAAAAAGCTGGACTCTGGACACAGCACCCAGTGTTGTATAAAGTACCTCAAATGATYCTTGAGTAAAAGTACAAGTACCTTATCATAAAAATACTTTGATAAAAGTTAAAGTCTCCTCTGAAAATATTACTTGAGTAAAAGTCTTAAAGTATCTGATATTTTTGTACTTAAGTATCAAAA